TGTCCATGTGTCTGGTCACCTCTCCACCCACAGACTGGCCAGCCATGCCCAAGGCTCACGTTCTAGTGCAAGGCCCGGCAAGGGCGGCCTGGACATGTGGTGGACAGCTGAGGTGCCTGCTTTATCCATAGTGGTCCCCGGGGAAGTGAGATGGGAGGAGGCAGGTACTGCACCACTGGAGCAGCCGCAGAAGTGTCAGCCAGGTGCCCTGACCATCGTAGGCCCAACTTCAGCTTCTCTGTCTCCCGGCTGCGCTTGGCCAAGCCCTGGGCTAACATTTATTAAGCCTCAGTATGTGCCAGGTGTTGAGCTAAGTGCTTCTCATGAATAGATGGCCTCATTCAGTCCTCAAGACCAACCTATGAGATAGACATTTCTATCATGCCAATTTTACAGATGTGGAAACAGAGGCCAGAGAAGACAGAGAGCTTTCTTGTCACAGTCAGAAACCCAGTATCTTAGCCACTAGGCCAAGTGCCTGGCCCTCGCCATTGTATTTTTTAAAAAAGACTTTATTTGAGAGGCAGAGTTACAGACAGAGAGAGGGAGAGGCAAAGAGCGAGGTCTTCTATCCACTAGTTTACTCCCCAAGTGGCCACAACAGCCGGAGCTGAAGTGCTCTGAAGCCAGGAGCCAGGAGCTTCTTCTGGGTCTTCCACACAGGTGCAGGGGCCCAAGGACTTGGGCCATCTTCTACTGCTTTCCCAGGCCACAGCCAGGAGCTGGATCAGAAGTGGAGCAGCCGGGATTTGAAATGGTGCCCATACAGGATGCCAACACCGCAGATCAGGGCTTTAACTTACTGTGCCACAGCACCGGCCCTTTAAATTATTTTTTTAAGATTTATTTTTATTTATTTGAAAGATAGAGTAACACAGAGTAGGTAGAGAGAGAGAGAGAGAGAGAGAGAGAGAGAGGAAGGGGGGGGAGAGAGAGATCTTCCATTCACTGGTTCACTCCGCAAATGGTGGCAATGGCCAGAGCTGATTGATCCAAAGGAAGGAGCCAGGGTCTCCCATGTGGGTGCAGGGGCCTAAGGGCCATCTTCTGCTGTTTTTCCAGGCCATAGCAGCGAGCTGGATGGGAAATGGAACAGCTGGGATTTGAACTGGTGCCATAGGACATGCTGGCGCTGCAGGCCAGGGCCAGTGCACCACAGTGCTGGTCTCAGTTTAACATGTTTTCACAAAGAAGTGTGCCTGAGGCTTTCTTTCCAGAGTGCCTCTCCTGTTGCCATTCGGATGCCCACTGAGCCGTGAGGGTTTCTACAGGCTCCCTCCCCACCCCTCCCCCGTATTGTTGAGCGCAGCTGCTAATTCTGCTTTGTACTAAAGTGAGCTCGTGACCCTCCCAAGTTGTGTGTTTGCTTCTTAGTGAGTGGAATCCAAAACCTCCACCACGTGGTGGGCATTTGGCACCACCTGGGATACCCACATCCCTGATCGGAGAGCCTGGTGTGAGAGCCACTCCTCGGCTTCTGATCTGGCCTCCTGCTGGTGCACACCTTGGGAGGCAGCCACGATGGCTCAAGAACTTGAGTCCCTAACACCCATGTGGGAGGCCCAGATTGTGTTCCAGGCTCCCAACTTTAGCCCGGCACAGCCTTGGTGTTGCAGGCATTTGGGGAGTGAACAGTGGATGGGAAGATCTGCCCTTCTGCCTTCCAAATAAAACGGAAAGAAAAAAAAAGTTGTGAAAACTTTGTTTCAAACATTAAAAAAAAAAAAAACAACCCTCCACCTGAAGTAGTTGTCTCACAAAGTAATTTATTTGCAGCAAATTAGGAGACCCCAGGACATCATTTCCAAAGTCATGGTTTCTCAGGCAGAGGGAGGCGGGGGTTACCAGAGGCGACCAGAAAACCACCCGCCCCCAGCTGGCAGGGACTGGTGGGGCCAGTGCGGGGCCGTGAGGGGGCAGCTCTGGGCACGTCCCAGTGGGCTGAGCTCTGGGCACCTCTGCCTTCTCGGCCCCTCCCCTCCACGTCTGACCTCCCCGTCTCCGGGTGTTATTCCCTGCCCCTCTGAGAAAGAAGGTATCTTCAAAAACAATTCCATGGAAAAATGAAAAAGCTTATTTATTTATTTGCAAGAGTTATGCAGAGAGAGGAAAGGCAGAGAGAGAGAGGTCTTCCATTCGCTGGTTCACTCCCCAATTGGCTGCAACAGCCGGAGCTGCACCAATCCAAAGCCAGGAACCAGGAGCTTCTTCCAGGTCTGCCACGTGGGTGCAGGGGCCCAAGCACTTGGTCCATCCTCTACTGCTTTCCCAGGCCACAGCAGAGAGCTGGATCGCAAGTGGAGCAGCCGGGACTAGAACCAGCGCCCATATGGGATGCCTGCACTTTAGGCCAGGGCATTCACCCACAGTGAGCCACAGTGCCGGCCCCCACGCTGGATCTTTTCATTCCATTTTCCATGATCTTCTCAAAGTTCCTTTGCCCAGTATCAGCATCAGATCTTGGTGTCAGGTTCTGTGTCTGGGGGAAGTTCCAACAAGGCTGAAAGATCTTATTGTCCCCACTTTACAGAGAAAGGAATCTGGGGCTGCGAGGGTGAGTGATGTACTTCAAGGTGTGACATAGTAGGAATCATGTTTTTGGTCTCTGTCTCTGGTTTTTGACACAGCACTCTTCAAATCCCAAGTAATAGGAATGCTGGGAGCATCTTTTTTTTTTCTCATATTCTGTAAAAAAAAAAAAAAAAGTAGGGGTGGGCTACACCTGCACCGCCAGCATCCCAGATGGGTGGTGGTTCAAGTCCCTGGTGCCCCACTTCTGATCCAGCTACCTGCTAATGCACCTCGTAAGGCAGCTGAGGATGGCCCAAGGATTTTGGCCCCTGCAACTCACATGGGAGACCCAGAAGAAACTCCTCCTGGCTCCTGGCTTTGGTCTGGCCCTCTCTGGCCATTGCAGCCATTTTGGGGGTAACAAACCAGCAGATGGAAGATCCCTCTGTCCATCTCTCTGTAAAATAAAATAAATCTAAAAAATAAATTTTAAAAAGCAATTATTTGAGCAACAGACAGACAGGGCTCCCCTTCCCCGGTCTACTGCGTCAAATGCTCATGATGTCCCCAGGCCAAGAACTTAAGCCAGGTCCCCCACATGAGTGGCAGGAACCCAGTCACTCGAGCCATCACTGCTGCCTCCCAGGGTGCATTAGCAGGAAGCTGGAGCCAGGAGCTGGGCAGGGGACTGAACGCAGGCACTCCGATGTGAGATGCAGGTGCCTTAATGCCTGGCCAAGTGCCCCCCGCCCCCAGTATTTGGTCTTTGACCTGTTCTCTGCATAGACATCCTAAAACACTTATACCTTGCCAAATGAAGGGAGTGATGGGAACATCTCGCAGAGAGCTGCTAAATTCCTTGGGCCCTGCTGAGCCTCGTTTCTAATGAGATGACTGTCGGTGGGCCCCACAGAGATTCAGGACCAGGGCTCAGACCAGGATCAAGAGCACAGAGAGACTGGATCACTGATGGACCCTGGGGACAGGAGAAAGCCTCCCACGGACATCTCTAGGTGCCCGCCTTGCAGGAAGGCTGGGAAGGTTTTATGGCTCAGTGTCATCAGGCCAGGTAGCCCATTTGGTGCTGAGCAGAGAGGATTCTCCCGGGGGCTTTCCTCGGTGGGGAGCTGACACCACCTGGGAAGTTGTCAGGGTCTGGGCAGGACCTTGCAGTGTGAAACCCTGGGCTGCTTCCCAGGTGAGTTTCTGCAGATGCTGTGTCTCTCTCAGGCCCCTCTCACACACACAGGCTCATTTCTAACTTCCTGCCTAACACCGGTGCCCATTTGGGACGCCAGCACTGCAGGCGGATGCTTATCCATCTATACCACAGCCCCAAGGTTGACAGTTCCTTGAAGTGAGAGACATAATTTGTAACTCTATAGCCTCCTCATACCTATGATGGCTCCTTGTGCAATAACGCGCTATGTTGACATTTTTTAAAAGTTTGATTGAGGGGCTGGTGTTGGGCACTGCAGCTGACACACTGCTTGGGATGCCCACGCCTCTCACCGGAATTCCAGTCCTGGCTCCACAGCCGATTCCAGCTTCCTGCTGATGTAGGATCATGGGAGGCAGCAGGCGATGGCTCAGGGAGTTGGGCCCCTGCTACTCACATGGGAGACCCAGATGGAGTTCCAGGCTCCTGGCTCCCACCTGCTCAGCCCTAGCTGTTGGGGGCATTTGGGGAGTGAACCAGTAGAGAGAAGATCAAATTCTCTCTCTCTCTTTCCCCTTTCAAATAAAATGAAAATCTGCGTATAAAATTTTTAAAGTTTTTTTTTTTTATTTTTTTTTATTTTTGACAGGCAGAGTGGACAGTGAGAGAGAGAGACAGAGAGAGAAAGCTCTTCCCTTGCCGTTGGTTCACCCTCCAATGGCTGCTGCTGCAGCCGGTGCACCGCGCTGATCCGATGGCAGGAGCCAGGAGCCAGGTGCTTTTCCTGGTCTCCCATGGGGTGCAGGGCCCAAGCACCTGGGCCATCCTCCACTGCACTCCCTGGCCACAGCAGAGAGCTGGCCTGGAAGAGGGGCAACCGGGACAGAATCCGGCGCCCCGAGATTTATTTATTTGAAAGGCAGAGGTACAAAGAGAAAGGAGAGTCAGAAATCTTCAATCCGCTGGTTCACTCCCCAAATGGCCACAATAGCCGGGGCTGCGCCAAGCCAAAGCCAGGAGCCAGGAGCTTCTCCCAGGTCTCCCAAATGGGTGCAGGGACTCAAGCACTTGGGCCATCTTTTGCTGCTTTCCCAGGCTCATTAGCAGGGAGCTGGATAGGCAGTGGAGCAGCTGGGACTGCTGCTCCTATGGGAGGGCACCACTGCGGGCTCCACCTGTCACCTGTCAATGCCATGACACCAGGAGCCTAGCTCCAGCGTATGAACCTTGGGGGAGAAACCACAATCACCCTGGGCAGCCTGGGGTGCCTGCCCTCGCTCACCCCCCCAACCTGCCCCCCAGGAGACGAGGACAGGCACACACGACCACCTTCGGAGGAGAAATCGCCTTTTACTTGGATTCTGATTTGAGAACAGTGTACACTGGATAAATCATACAGTATCTCATACATGCGGGAAAAAAGCTGGGGTCTGTCTCCCTCCTCAGCTCCCACCCTGTGTTCCCCTCACCAAAATGTAGAAAAAGCCCAGCTTGGAAAATAGGGCAGATCTTTGTCCCCGAAGCAGCACAGAGCTGGGGCCATCAAGGAGAATGTCTTGTAGTCGACACAGAGCAGTGAAACTGCCCAGCCGGCTGCCATAGTGCACATCCATTTCTTTATACAATTTGATTCATTGTAGCCCCTGGATGGTGTCTAGGGAAGGATGGGATCCGGAGAGGCAGGCAGCACGGGAGCCCTTGGCTCAAAAGTGCTCAACAGGGGACCAGCCTGGGGGGTCCCCAACGTGCTGCAGAGCTGCCACTGTGACAGGTCACCGTCCCCAGACACACAGCCCCACCCCGAGACCACAGGGCCCCCTGAAGCCAGCTGCAGGCTGCACCAAGCAAGCTGTCCCTACAGGTGCCGAGCCATGCGTCTGGGCTCTGATGCAAGTCGGAGGCAGGCCAGCGCCAGGTCGGGCAGAGAAGGACAAAGGGCTACACTCCTTCTGGAACCTTCTCACCCAGCTCAGGCAAGGCCAGGAAGGCCCAGGATGCTGGAGGTCATTGCTTGGCCCCCAGGGAGTGACACTAAAGAGACAGGAAAAGTAGCCCCCGCCCCTCTGTCCCACACTCAGGGCAAGAGGGCCGAGCGGTGACTAGACGGTGGGCTGCCTCAAGCACGCATCTCTCCGGGACGTCTGCTGCCTGGCGTTCTGGCCCCCGTGGAAGGCCTCCTCCACTTGGCAACCAGGTCCCTCACATAGCTCTGCACCCACTGCTGCTTGGGGTCGCCGCAGACTCGGTAGTCCTTCTTGGTGGTGAAGCTGGAGGGGGAGAGAGAAGGACAGGGGATTCACTTGATGGGGAGGTGGGTGGAGGAGCACAGAGAGGCTCCGCTGCAGGCCCAGAGCCCCCAGCAAGCTACCAGCGTGGTGTTGGTGTCTCTGGATGGAGAGGGGAGGGGAGTAAAATCTGCCACAGAACACAAACCCCCCCCCTCCCCCACCCCCAACCAGAGGCAAGGCAGGTGCGACCAGTTCACATGCCAAGCACGGCCACTGAGAATGCCAGAGCCAGGGTTGGGGAAGACGGGGAAGGCCCCTTTGAAGCCAGCCCTGGGCTGGAGGTGGTGCCAGGCTGTGGAGCTGAGTCGGGGACTGGCTGGGGAAGATCGGTCTCACACTGCTCACAAAGCAAGTTCACACCCACTCCTTGTGTGAGAGGCAGCCCCAGAGGTATCTGGAGCCCAGAGACCCGGCTGCTGGAGCAAGTCCCTTACCCGGGCCTCGGGTGCCGTCTCTACATGACGGGAACCACCTTCCCTACTCCGCAGTGCTGTTGAGAGCATTAGCTAAGCAGTATGGGGTGCCCCGGGAAGGGCCTCCTATGTTTTCTGTGCTTGGTAAATGGCTCCCTCCTAGATTCACCAGTGAGAAAGCTGAGGCCTAGAGAGATCACTTGACTTCCCCGGGGATGCACAGAGCTGGGTCCTGCCAACACTTAGCCCCCAGGGACCCTGGTGGCCCACCCTGACCTGACCACGGGGAGTTACTCACATCACACCTGCCCTGGGGCAGACACTCCCGCTGGACAGCTGGTAGCTCACCACTTGGCTCTCAGGGATCTTCTTAGGAATAAAGTTCATGCAGCAGGAGGAGGGGATGACCACGGTGCCTAAGAGACGGTGAGAGAAAAGCCCCGTCTCCAGATGCCCCAGCCCACCCTGCTGTCCCCGTCACGTCCCCAGGCCAGGCTGGAGGTCTCACCTGCAGGGGTGAAGTGGTGGGCACTGAGGGCCAGCAGCAGGAGGCTGGCTGCGATGGTTGCAGGGCCTGCCATGTCCGGGGGAGGGTGCAGAAGCTCAGGGATCCACGCCTGGGTGCAGGAGGAGAGGGCCTGGGGGTCAGAGCCCGGCTGTTTGCAGGACACCCTCTGTCCCACCTTTTATAGGAGCGCTGGCCGGACCGTCCTACTGATGGAGCCCCACCCCTCTCGGGCTTCCTTGAAAATCCTGAAGCCTCTGTGGTCAGGAAGGAGGAAGTCGTGGCCCAGCTGAGTCAGGGATCATTTGGGGCTCGATAACAAAGAGCTGGGCTGAGGATGGGTGGGCACTGCCCTGCCTACGCCAGGGCCAAGGCCTCGGGTTCATGGTGGGGTTCCTGCCTGTGCTGCTTGCTCCCCGTGGGGTCTGTTGGGCACCAAAAACTTTGTTGTGTCCAGATCGTTAGATCCCCGCAGAGACCCCCAGAGAGTCGATCACACCGAACTGCAAGAGCAAGGTTTATTCAGGAGTACAAGCCGCGACAGGGACCCCATCCAAGCAACCGGCACAGCAGAGGAAGGCATGAGGCCCCATTCTTTGTTGGGAGTTTTTAAAGGAAAAAAGGGCTACATCAGCAGGAAAAGAGTTACATACAGCATGGAACCTCTGGGTACAGGGAGTTACATGGGGGGCTCACAGCTCAGGAGCTCTGGGCACAGGGAGTTACTTTGTTCAGCAATCTCTCCTGTGCTGTCCTTGGTCTACCCAGCTAGCTGTCCCTGGTAAGCTTTGCTATCTCTGGAATGCCTGAATGCCTGCTTTTACAAGGACCCGGGTCTGCTATGGGAAACGGAGGCTGCTTTTTTTTTTTGTTTGTTTTAAAATGGAGTCACTTTGGTTCTTCATTCCCCCCTTGTTTTTGTACATGTTTGAAAAACCCAATCATGGGTTTGGACTGACATTTTATAGGTTTTACAAACATTTTTGGTTTCTATTGGGACCGTTGGACCATTAATTGAATGGTGCCCAATCTCTATTTTATAAACTGTACAAGTTTGTTAACAATGTAAGGGCCAAACGTTAAAATTAACAAGCGGCCCTATGAGTCCTGATAGTAGGGTGGCTCACCAGGGAGAAGAACTGAACCAAGACTCAAACCTCCCCTGAGAGGCCTCCCGTTCTCTTTTTCGTTTTGCCAGCCCCTCCCTGACCTTAGCCAACCATAATCTTTTATTAGGCCCGAGTGATGGGCGTAAAAGAAGCATTCTTTCCCAGAGTGGCGCACAGCCCACCACATCAGTCCCAGAAGTCCAAGAGGTGCAGAGGGATGACGATCCACCTTCAGAGCCACCCCTGCTGACGTGGAGCAACGAGGCACTCTGCGCTGCCATGGGGCGATGTCTTAAGCTGCTGTCTCCTGGGTGGGGAGCCGAGCACATTCCTCTAGTAGCATTTGGTTGACCGCCTGGTTGCCGAAGGCCTTGGTTTGCTCCATCACCAGCTGTAAATACTTAACCAGACACTGTAGTATAGAGACAGGGTGAGACTAAAGCAGATTCCAGCCAAAACCGGGAGAAACGCCACTCATTAGTGTGGGAGAGGATTACCAGTACACACATGTTGGGAGTATAAACGGCGATCTACTCAGAGAACAAAGAATTTACAGGAATCCTCAGCGTTTAATTTCTGCTCTACTTTTATACACAGAATAATGACTAGCTATTCGCAGCATGTCTTAACTTTTTAAGTTTGTGCATTTACTTTTCCCGAGCAAGGCGGAGCTGCTGCTGCTACGTGTAACTGAGACAGTAGCTGATATTTAATAGGAAACACTGCTCACAGAACTGTACTCCCTACTAGCCAAATTTATCTAATAATGAATTATTCTGATAATGGAGAGTAGATACCATATGCACTAATTACACAGATGTTACTTTAACATAAGTCACAGTTTTAAACAAGGTAATTTACATTTTGAAGTATACTACGTACGGTAATACTGTTTAATAAAAGATATACTGCTGCCCCCACAGGATATGTACAGAATGTCTGTGTACCACTGACTTTAATAAGCAACAAAATTACAAAGGCATGAGGCCCAGGAGTGGGCCAGACAGGGTCCAGAACAAACGACAGAGTTGCTATTAGAGGAGTCAAGAAAGCTGTTGTCTAAGTTACAAATAAGTTTTCTGATTGAGAGGCAAAGAGAACCTGATAGAAGGGGCTTGATAATAACCTGGTGGGCTTTAGGACTTGTAAGTTAAGGGACCTAGGCCTATCTATCTTTTTACATAGGGTACATCTTAAGGGAGGAGTGAACCTCCTTGGGGAAGGCACTCTGTTGACTTTTATTACTTACCTGGCCTGGGAGGAGAGCTGGCCAGGTAAAGGCAGGTGGCATCTCCAACAGGACATTTACAGCTCTGTCTGCAATGTTACTGACCCTACTTGGCCATTCTTTCAACAGTGGCGGTCACTTTGGAGGCTGGGCTAAGTGAAGGGCTTTTCAACTTAGAGCCAATAAGATCTGTGGCTCTGACCTGAAGTCCTTCGACTCCAGGGCAGGTCCATTTCCAGTGATCCAACTTTTGGCTGGCAGAGCTCCCAGGGCTCTTCATAAGTTGACTTCTGCTGAGGCCCAGGCTTACCTCATCAGAAGCCACTGCAGTGGACTGGCCTGTTGGGTCTCCCTGAGGGCAGATCACTGCACAGAGCTGCCTGTAATAGGCCTGCCACCCATCTTTACATTGTTTCTGATGCCCAGCTCTCTTTTTCTCCTGGTTTTTGTTAAATCAGACCAGAGAATGCAAGTCAAGGGAGTGCTCAGTCCCACCTCTAATTTTCGTTGCCTAGACTAGAAATCTAGAGTCATAGGCATGTTTCTGATGAATATTTAGCCGGGCTGTTACTCTGATTTCTGAACATGGTTGACCTTTAACAGAACTGACTTATGTCCTTACCCAAATAGCTATGCAAGGACACTGCCAGATTGTCACTACAAAACCTTACCAGTTACCAGCCACGCTTAGAAAACCTTGCATCACCAGAGGCAAAACAGATACATTACTCTGTGTGGTGTTGCCTGACAGTGGCTTTAATTTTTTTTATGCTAGTCTTTAATTTAAGTAATTAAGTAATCTCACAAGGAAGAATCCTATATGGCAGTAGGGTCCAAAAGGTAGGGCAGCTCTTCCATGCACAAACATTTTAAGAGTCATATCAGGCTGGTGCCATGGCTCAATAGGCTAATCCTCCATCTAGCGGCGCCAGCACACGGGGTTCTAGTCCCGGTCGGGGCGCCGGATTCTGTCCCAGTTGCCCCTCTTCCAGGCCAGCTCTCTGCTGTGGCCCGGGAAGGCAGTGGAGGATGGCCCAAGTGCTTGGGCCCTGCACCCCATGGGAGACCAGGAGAAGCACCTGGCTCCTGCCTTCGGATCAGCGCGGTGCGTCGGCCACAGCGCGCCAGCCGTGGTGGCCATTGGAGGGTGAACCAACGGCAAAAGGAAGACCTTTCTCTCTCTCTCTCTCACTATCCACTCTGCCTGTCAAAAAAAAAAGAGTAATATCAAATGAAAACTTAGTAAGTAGATTTAATTATTAGACAACAACTTAGGAAAACACTTACCAGTAGGTCCAATGTCCTTTACAAATGTTAAGAATACATGTACTTGGAAACATCTCTTAAATACCCAACATGGTTTAGCTTGTTTAACCAGCAAATTTAAGCACAAGTATATAAAATGTTTTCAGTTTTTTTTTAACAAGTTTACAGAGATTTAGGTTACACGGATTTTCGAATTTCCGATTAACTTTAGCTGTTTAAACTTACGGGAGACATTCTGTTACAGACTACAACATAATCAAGCTCTACAGCAATACGAACACTTGAGGTAACTCTTTTGTATACACAACATTTAGTCCAGCAGAGACATTAGAAAAACATACATAAATGATACAGAGGAGTTGATTTACATTTAGATAGATGCATTCAGTTTCACAGCAAATTACAGGGTTACATACATCATAACAATAAGGCAGTTTCAGTGATAGTTGTTAGAATCTTTAATCTTTTTTTTATAAATTACCAATTGATTTGAATTACTTTCTGATCTTAGTAACCTCAGTTAACTATACTTTTTTTCCAGTTGGTACCTGTAATACATTATTGGCTTTATCAGTTTACAGAGTCATCCCAAAGTACTGAATACAATAGATGCAGCTGGAAAAAGTCCACTGCAACCTATAGGAGGACAGTTAAACACAGAGCCAACAACGCTTTAGTTTTATAAGTAGTAAATCTGATATACAAAACTGTGGATGACAGAAGACCTTAAGTTGTTATATTTAAAATTACAAACTTGTTAACCAACAAGAGACACTTGTTTACTTTACATAGCATTTTTGAAAGCACCTATAAGATTTTACAAGGCACACTTAACTTTTTTAGGCCTCTGGGGCCCCTTCACCAAGATGACCATTATGTTTAGTAACACTAGATTACCAGACTTTATAATTTCTAGACATCTGTATCAATACCATTTTATATCATGACATAATACAGACCAAATGTGATCACTGTTACAGGGTGATTATTTAAATGTTTGAAAATAAGCACATATTTAAATAACCCACAGCTCTTAATAAAAACTCGGTTGTTTTTAAACAATTAGAATTTAACAGAGACATCAAGAGAACATAATAGATTAACTTATTGCTCTAATAGAAAATCAGTAATAGTTTTTATGTCTAAAATTTTTTTATGACTTTTTGTGACTTTTACACACTTTTTTTTAACTTACTTGAAACATTTTATTTTTATATTTGTGATGTTTTTATCTGTTAATTTTTTTGCTTCACATTTTGAAATAACCTATTAAAATTTTAAAATTAAGACAACATTTTTAAACAAGGTAACACATCAAGTTTCAGCATTAATTACTTTTAAGTGATGTTGAACTATTTTTATATGGACAATTTATGAAAACACGTTAGCAAATTTAAGTAGTTTTTTTATAGAATATAAGGTGTTGAAAGTACCAAAGTTTACGTTTAGACACATTTATCTCATTTGTCTTTACCTAATTTAAATTAGCAGTCACACCTAAATGACTTAAGATGTTGATATTATATATCTCTATCTGAATTTAATTAAAATTGTATTTATTTAAAACAAGTACTAATTACCTATTACTGTTTTATTGAGTACTGACCACCCAGAAATTTGTTAAAACAAATTGCAAGTTACAAAGTAATATCTTCTGGCTTGCATGAGATAAAACAGAAGAGCCATCAGGAGGGTGGGATACCTGATTTGTTTCACTGATAAGACAGGGAGAGTACACTTGGGACCAGACCTGGTTCTAAGGTAAAGTTCAAATTCTGAGATAAGGCAAGGGGGAAGAGAGTCACCCAGGCCATGCCAGTCTCCAAGGCCAAATTTGAATTTTGCGCCAATCTTGCCTGCGGTGCCGCTGCTTTGAGACTCACCAACAGAGCCTGGCAATAGACATGGAGTCTCTCCTTTACAGAAATTAACCCAATTGTAATTGTCCTTTTTAACATTTACATTGTTCCAACATGCCAGAGGCTGTTCATCTTGGAGACCTGTTGCAGATATGGGTATGGCTCGGCGCGAGATTTACACCCTTTTCCTGGATTTTTAAGGGCCAGCAAGAGCTCACCGTATGCCAGCCTTCCAGGGCTCCCGCTGGCTTTCCGCGCTTTATTGAATTTACTTTGACATTTAGAGTACTGGGCAGAAATCACATCATGTCAACACACGCCATGGGCCCTCACGATGTTTTAACAGTTTAATTCGCCTGGTCCACACCAGTTCTAAGTCAGCTGCTAGGCGCCGGTCAAGGCCAGCTGCTGTGGGGAACCAGGGCCGCAGGGGTAGGCCCGGCGGGGGGGGGGGGGGGTGCGCCCGGGCGGCACCACGGTGTGGGGGGGGGAAGGGGGGGAAGGGGTCTCCTCCTCGAACCCCGACCCAGGGAGCACCCGCCAGGCTCCCCAAAGGCAGCCGCAACTCCTGATGCAGCTGGGGTGATCCATGGGAAGGGCCCAGCTTGCATCCAGAGTTGCCCCCGCTGCCAGCTCCCCAGGTGCCCCCCCCGGGGGGGGCAGTGCCTCATCCAGCCACAGCGCGTACCCAGTCCTGCTTCATGCCCCAGCCCGACCAACCCAGTCCTTAACCTACATTATCATGAGCCACTTTTTTTTTTTTTACTGTGCAAGAGTTAGATTTAGTGGAGAGGAAGGAGTCACCCCCATGTTCTGTCCAGTTAAGTCAGTTGTCAACAGAAATAACACAAACACCACTTAACAAAAAAATGAAAAAACACGGGGCCCGTACAGAATTTCCGTGGACAGATTCAAGTGGTCATATTACAGAAGGTCTCCACTGCTCCAAGGGCAAACCTCCAGGAGTCTGAAGGAGACCAAAGACCTTACCGATGGGACGAGAACTCTGCAGCAGTCCCTCTTCTCTTTGTCCCCAGATACAGATTGGACCCCCCCCCCAGGTCCCAGATACAGATTGGACCTCCCCAGGTCCCAGATACAGATTGGACCTCCCCAGGTCCCAGATACAGAATGGACCTTCCCAGGTCCCCAGATACAGATTGGATCTCCCCAGGTCCCAGATACAGATTGGATCTCCCCAGGTCCCAGATACAGATTGGACCCCCCCAGGTCCCCAGATACAGATTGGACCCCCCCAGGTCCCCAGATACAGAATGGACCCCCCCAGGTCCCAGATACAGAATGGACCCCCCCCCAGGTCCCAGATACAGATTGGACCCCTCCAGGTCCCCAGATACAGATTGGACCTCCCCAGGTCCCAGACAAGGAATCGGGACGTCTCCCGTTTCCTCTGGGGTGTGCCCTGCAATTGCGTCCGCTCAGGCAGTGACCCTCCACAGATTCAGAATGCAGATGCAATGGCCAATGCTACAGATTCAGATTTAGACACAGTTAAACAATGAACAACTAGACTAATAAACTCACCCAGTGGATTGGAGCAAACCTTCCGGGTCGAGGTCGCTGGGGGGCTTTTTGGGGATCACAATCCCAGATGAGCTCCCAAATATGTTGGGCACCAAAAAATATGCTGTGCCCAGATCATTAGATCCCCGCAGAGACCCCCAGAAAGTCGATCACACCGAACTGCAAAAGCAAGGTTTATCGGGAGTACAAGCCGTGACAGGGACTCCCATCCAACCAACCGGCACAGCAGAAGAAGGAGTGAGCCCCGGTCTTTGTTTGGGAGAGTTTTTAAAGGAAAAAAGGGCTACATCAGCAGGAAAAGAGTTACATACAGCTCGGGAGCTCTGGGCACAGGGAGTTACTTTGTTCAGCAATCTCTCCTGTGCTGTCCTTGGTCTACCGAGCTAGCTGTCCCTGGTAAGCTTTGCTATCTCTGGAATGCCTGAATGCCTGCTTTTACAAGGGAAACGGAAGGCCAGAAAGCAGAGTAAAGCACGTACAGAATGAATAATTTATCTTCAAAAACAATTTGTGTCCTTTCTCAAAATATTTTTGGCTGTACTCAGTGTTGTAATGGCTTCTTTTCCCTCACACGGGCAGCATGTTGCCATTTCACACTACTAAAATCAGTTAGGTCTTCCTACATCCTAAGTCCTTCCTCAGACTCTGGGGGCATTGTTTTGGTTTTGGTGTCATTAAACAAACAGCATTTCATACTTGTCATTTACATGTTTTGTTCTAGCCCCAAAAGACATCATTTTCAAGGTATCAAGACACTGCAATAGTTTACATCTATTATCCTGCATACACACAGTCACCATCTATTTCTGGAATAGAAATGAAGCTGATGCTGTTTTTCAGATGTTTTCCTTTAGTTCCACCACATACAGAACTGAACAGGGCCCAGCGGTAGTTCCTATGTGATGCTACCTTATGAATTTTTTTCTTATATGGTTGAACCCTATTGAATGATGGCTGAATTCCACTAAAAATCACTGTTAACACCTGGATCATAGAGAAGTGCGCAGGTGTCTGCAGCATTCTTCTGTACGATGCGAAACCACTCCGGCGACACAGACATACTCAGGTCCTTTAGGATATCAAGAGAAGGACAAGACTTGAGTCTTCATTTGAATGGCTTTCCTGGAATCAACTCCTTAATACTTAGCATTCCCCCTGAAGACTTTTGGATTTTAGACCCACAGTATATGCATAATAGAGAATATTTTACTCTTAGAAAGATGAAATTGGTGGCTTAGGCTATCTTCCCTGAACTGAGAATTGTTCTGATTTCTATAGAGAATAAATAATTATACAAATAACACTTTTTCATACTTATTAGAGCAAAGGAGTTACCATGTTGGAACCCACTGATGTCACTGACCTCACACCTGGTGAGATGATTTTTATTTCAAATGCATTCAACTTGTGAGGAAAGCATTGCATTTGAAGAATACAAGGTGGAGTGAGTATTGCCCAGGGTTGCCCTGATGTGAGTACTGGAGCCAGATCTCAGGTAGGGATCCCTCTATGCACAAACCCCTTAAAACACTTTCCAATTCAGTTGACAGAGGTATTTCCACATAGGTACATCACTTACCTCTACCTCATTTCTGCCAAAAGCCACTCACAAATCCAAAGTTTTCATCTGAGGTTTTGTCACAATGGATCATTAGCACCACATTCTGGCCACTGACTATTAACTGGAGATGCACTGTTGGGAACAAGAGCAGGGTGAGTGTGATATTTGGCACTAGGATTAAGATACTGCTGTAAAGACATACTCTATATCACTGGCTGGGCAAACACTGCAGTTCTGCTTCCTCTTTCCGATTCCTGGGAGGAAGATTAGAAAATACTGCCACCAATGCGGGGGTCCTGAATTAAGGTCTATTCTTTCTTAAGGCTGGCCCAGGCCATGCTGTTGGAGGCATTTTTGTAATGACCCAGGGGATGGGAGATCTCCCTCTCACTTGCTCCCACTCCTCCTTTCTCTGACTTTAAAATAATTTAGAAATAAGGAACTATTATAGAAAGAAGAAACTGAGGCATGACAATGTTGACAGACACATTATTACTATTATTATTAAAGTGAAATTCAGCTACTATAAAATCTACTACCTTTAGGCACGGGTTTACTAGACTAGTCGCAAAGGGTTTTCAATCATCCCCAGTTCCAGGACATTTTGGTAACCTTAGAAAGAACTCTGTATTGGCAGTCACTTTCCCATCTTACAATGCCTGGCATCCCCCACTCCCCCACTTTCCCTCTGAAGTTCATATCTGGAATATTTCTGGCATTTTATTAGTACACTTGGAACTTTGCATCTGGCTTCCTTCACTTTGTGTAACATTTTCAAGGGTTATCCAGGTTGTAGCTTGTATCTTTGGTTACACAGAATTCTATACATGAGGTCTCCTGTCTTGTTTTCACCTGCATCCTGTTGGATGTTCAGAGGGTGTAATGCTATCTGCCACTTCTATTTTTTTTTTAATTTTTTGACAGGCAGAGTGGATGGACAGTGAGAGAGAGAGAGAGACAGAGAGAAAGGTCTTCCTTTGCCATTGGTTCACCCTCCAATGGCCGCCGCGGCCAGCACGCTGCGGCCAGCGCACCGCGCTGATCCGATGGCAGGAGCCAGGTGCTTCTCTTGGTCTCCCATGGGGTGCAGGGCCCAAGCACTCGG